CCCCTGTCTAAGATTATTCACATCATGCTTCAATTTGTAGGCTCAAGCAACATTAAGCTTTTGGGAATAGGTCACTAAGACACTATCCCACACTTCTTTTGCAGTTTCCATCCACAGATAATGCTGACTAATGTGTGGTTGCATAGAATTCACTAACCAACCCACTACTGTGTAATTTTCCTACATCCACCTTTCATAGTCATAGGAAGGATCATCCTCCTCTGATTTCTTCTTGCTCCCGATAATATAACCCAATTTTCCTCTACTACACACATGTATCTTAATAGATTGAGACCAAGCTAAAAAATTGGTCCCATCTAACTTCACAGTAGCCACAGCCCCAAAAAGATTCTCCACAGACCCCCTATGTCCAAACCCGAAACCTATGGAATATTTGGTCTCTCCTCCAGTTTGCTCCAGTGAGTAAACGAATGCAAACGAAAATCAAATTAGGGAGTTACCAGGCTAGATTTACTGTTCTATGAAAAGAAAAAGCTTCAACCCCCCAAAATTAGGGTTTCACAAGGTCCTGTGGGATGGAGAGAAAGAGAAACTCCAACCGCCCCTTCCAGAGGTTCTAGAATTCAATCCAACCAAAACCACCCCTAATAGAAATCAAAAGGCTTACCTCTGATCCCCATGTGCCTGGTTCAAACTGTCTCTACGACATGTGACAAGGTTTCTCTAGTTATCTAGAGTTTTCAGGAAAAATCTCCAAGAACCTGCCCTAGGCTTCAACTAAGGATGAAAAACCCCACAAAACTCTCCAAAAACCTTCCTAACTGAGCTGCATAAGTATTTGATTGATCAACCGGCTGGTTCTCCATACACACTATGTATGGGTAAAGAAAGGAGAAAAAAGTCAAAAGTGAGAACCTGCTCTGTTACCAAGTTGAAAATTACACCTAGAGTAATTCAGATAATGCAAGAAAGAAGAAAAGAGAGGAAGAGAAAGAAGAATTTGAGCCTCTTCCTAGCCACCTTTCATCACCTTTATTAATAAATCTCAGTCTGAGTACAATTACTTGGATGCCCTTAATGGGGCGACCAGCACTAAAGAGATAATTAAAGAAAATAAAAGAAGGCCCATAACTAAGAAACATAACTTTTAAACACTACTTAAAAGAAATAAAGAACACTAGGGCCCATTCGGCCCATTCTCACTACAAAGACTCATCTCCAAAAATGGTCTCTATTCCTCAACCATATATTCCCAAATATAAAGGATGTTGGACCAAACCCAAACAATTTTGGTCCTTAAGTCTAGAATCAGATGTGTCAACCCTCTTGACTAGCCACCAAATCCCTCTAGTGGTTCTCCCAACCTTCATGAAAAGGAACCTATCCAACTTAAAGCACAAAGGATTTTCCTGGAAATTGGACCAAGTGAAATTGGCTTGCAAAGGGGAGATTTCTTAAATCTCGGAGGTATTAATGAGCTCATTAAATTTTTTCATGCTAGTTGTGTTGGGGGTTGTTGATTTAACTACAATACCTGATTACATTAAAATCTCCACACACATTTTTAAATTAAGCCCATTACAATCTCCACCCACATTTTTAAATTAAGCCCATACAACTTCTCCCACATCTCATTCCTTTCTTTGTAGGAATTAAGCCCATGATAATTGATTAACACCCAAATGAATCCATCGTCTACATTTTTAAATTTTATGGATAAAGAGAAGTTACCTATGTTAGACAGTGTATGCCCTTAGCTCCAATCAGATTAATGTATCTTTTGACATTTATTGTAAATGATTAAAGTACATATTTGATTCATGTTATATTGGCGTGTTTCTGTATAATACCCTTAAACTGGACACTTATGAGACTCGTGTTAGTTTAGAATCTTCACATCCGTTGGAAGGATTTTGGGAGATTTATCCTGCCAAGGCTGACACTGATGTGCTGCCAAGAAGATTGGGGTGGCTTGTCTCAGCTGCCAGGGTAAGACCCAAAGCACATGCAGTGTGGGTTTTCTTGAAACCCTGAACGAGACCAAATTCCAGTATTGCCCTAGACCTTGGAGATAGATGGGCAAAACTACAATGTTACACCTGACCCCTAGACTCGATTATGGTACTGCACTAGGTGTTGGATTGGGTTGTCTTTGATATGCCAATCAATGAGATCCTTAGAGGGGGTCAAAACCTGGGTATGTTGAGGCAGTCCGAGAATTCACCTGAGTGGGTGATCATAGTGACAGGAATAGCCCCTTTGTCGGACAAAGTGAATGATCGGGGAATGCACTCTCTTTGATGGAAACCTAAACTACCGGCAATTGATTCCAAATTGTTGAGATTTGTTTTTGCAAAATATATTTATATAAAGATATACATATATATTATGGATTCACAAAATGTTTGCAAAAAGGTTTTAATTCCCGGGATCCATGTGATTAGAGAGTGCAACTTTGTACCTTGTAGCCAAGGGAGAGATCCTCTCTTGTCGGGCAGTGTTTGATCATTATGGACTGAGAGGTTAAGTGTAAGACCATTTAGGGTTTATACCTGATGGGCTAATCTCACATAAGTCCTTAGTCCTTGGGCCTTCATAAGGTGGCTGGACCCAGGAACCATTTAGTGTAAATGTTGGGCTTGCTAAGAGCCCATACTAATGGGCTCAGAGGTTCACTGGCTTTAGCAGTGAATTCGGCCAGGCCTTGTAACAAAGGTTGGGCTGAACCCAATTGGCTTTTGAGGAGATCAATGCTAAGGTCCCACGCCATACAAAGAGAACCAAACTAGCGAACATATAAAAGGGAAAGTGAGCTGTATGACTTAATGGGCCTAAAGCCCATTTCGAACTAGGCTCAAGTGACTTAATTAATTGGGGCGAATTTGGTTTAAAAGCTTATTAGGATCAGTAAGAGGATAAGATATGTCTTATCCATTTAAGAGTCCAAATCCAAATATCAGATTTGGATCAAGAAATTCTTTCCTAATTGGATTAGGAAGCTGATCCAAAAAGGCTATAAATAGGGGGCGAATTCACCAGTTTAATACACTCAGCAATCTGTAGAATTCTCCTCCATTTCTTGTCGCCCCTACCCAGTTCGATTTCCACCTTTGGATCTGATCAAAAATAGTTCTTGATATTGTTTCTTGCTAGAAGAAACAATCTAAAGTCGTGCTCACCAGCCCCTTGTGTGATTCTTGTTGAAGAATTAGGGTTCTTGTTGAAGAACCACCTTGTTGATCCTGCCTCACCATAAGTTGTGTCATGTTCAGTGGAGGCGGGTTTTGGTCACCTCTTTGGGCGTAAACACCTACGTTGGGAGTTACTGTTATTCCGTATCAGGTGCATCCCTACTTGCTTCCTTTTGGTTTTAGATCTGGTCCGGTTTGTTTCAAGAACGAATGTAGTTTTCTAAATTAGGGAATAAGATTCCCAGAAGGCCGAAAGAAAATTTTTGAAATTTCGCCCAACCTCCCTGCAAGGTTCGGCCATCCATATGATGGATCTCCCTTCCCTTCAACCTATCACGATTCCTCCAAAGGTTCTACAACATCTTCCCTCTTTATAGTCACCAAACCTCCAAAGGCTCCCCAAGATGGCGTTGAGGTCCAATTCACACCCCTTGATCACCTTCTATCCAACTCTAGTAATTTTGTTTCCCGAATCAACACTATATCAAGCTTTTCTCTTCTGTGTAAATCCTTGATTACTCTTCTCTTCCTTGCACTCCCCAAACCCCTAACATTCCATCTAATGATCCTCGTTAAACAAAAACCTCAAGACTGACCTTATCACCACAAACATACCTCTAGTTGGGAGCTTTCCTTCTTTCCCTTCTTTATCTTCATTTTAATTGTATATGTTTCTCTTTAATTAATGAAACTCATGGTTTATTGATCAAGGAGAAAAAGATGATGTAGAGGTTTCAACACTTAAATATGAGGAAACATGGCAGTCTGAAAACAAGAGTTTTGATATCTAATGTTTAGCGCCCAATCGTGCATAGGGATAGGTATCAGATGTGAGAGGAGATGGAGGGGTTTCATGACGGAGAGGTTGGATAGGTTTCTGCTTAATAGGGAGTGGGAGTGGATGGGGTTTGGTCCAAGAAACATCAGTGACTCCATTTTCAGATCACTACTACTTTTTGAAGGATTTTGCAAGTTTGATGGACATCCTATCTTGTTGGAGTCCGTGGAGCAAAAATGGAATTTTTATATATTTCAGGGTACAGCTGGGTTTGAGAAAATTACAAAGCCTAATAGAAGGATTGAGAGGTTGGAGCAAATCAATGTTTGGGATTGTGGAATGAGAGATTAGGAAGTTTTGGGGAAAATCACAATCATGGGCAGATTGTCGTGATTGAGTTTTTTGTACTTTGAAGTAGTGATATGCTTAGTGGCCTGTTTGTACATTTTGGTTTTCTGTTTTGTTTGATGAATGGTGACTTCTGGTCACCTAGAAGTTGTATCTTGTTTTTGTTTTTCAATAATATTTTCTTCCTTATTTATCTTCAAAAATGGTGGTCTAAGAGAAGAAAGAAGAAAGGGAGGAGTATACACATTTAAATCTCATTCTCTAGTTGATTTATTTTTGATTTAGTGTTTCCAGATTCTTTCTTGAGTTTGTAAATGATTTGTCGATGCCATAAAGTCGTTGGGTTAGTTAATATAGATCAGAAGACATGAAATAGGATTAGTGTTTATGATTTTGGGACAGGGAGGCTAGGCCAAACGTGGATGGATTGAACTACTCCTACTGGACACCAATTTCTACCAACTCCTTATCTGATTTTCTTGCACAAGCAGGTGCTAGAGGAGAGATTCCATCAGTGAGGTTTCTGCTACCAGCTTAGCACTGTTTTCCTGTTTTCTTGTTTGGGCATTTTCACCTGCTTTGTATGTTTCAGCTTTTAGGTAGCCTCTTTTGTTCTCAGGCTCTCTTTCATTGTACTTTTTTTTTCTTTCAATCTTTAATTAAATCAGTTCTTGATTAAGAAGTTTTAAAAAATGAAGAAAAAAATACAAACAAGGGCCTACCTGAAATAGTGACACTGCTAGTTCCTTCTTGCCTTTTGGAAACTCAGCCTTCAATACACAGTGTCCTAATGAATTTTGCCACATTAAGCGCCTTCCACTGTACTTGCTCAAGTAGAACTCTTTGAAAATGTCCTGTCATCAAGGACAAGACAACCAGTAAGTGACTGGAAAAAACCAGTCTAAATGATATCAAAAGACAGTTTGGTTTCCTAGACCATTCTCACTAACCTGGTATACATTTAGCTCATGTGGAAGTCGAACATCCATGGGTGGATATGTTGGCCAGTACCTGCAGACCAGTTAACAATAGCAAAATTACAACTTTCCAAGAAAGTAAGCTTACATAGCAGTGGCAATTTGTGTTATTGCAATGCAATATAATATTACAAGCACTAAATTAGAGAAAACAAGACTCACCCAGTTGTTAACACATGGACACTTATTTCAATACCCGAAGGGAGTTTTGTCCTTGCTTGGGATGACTGCTTGAATGATTCATTTATCTCTTTTGATAACTCAATATCCTGCAAATGCAAAGGTACAAAATTATAGTCAATGAACATCTAAACCAAATGATACAGTACAAGCTGCGGCCAAGGTTCAAAGTATCAGAAACACAAGGTGTATTGGAGAGGCGATTTTAAGAGATGTATCAAGATTTTGGATATGCATGGGTACAGATGAAAAATCAAGATACACATGGATACTCTAGGAAATTGATATAAATCCTAAAAAATTATGTTAATAACAACAAATATGAGTTTTGTATAACTATAAATAAATAATTTAAAAATAAAAACATACTTTATTTTTTTAGTAATTTATAAAAAATACTTTAATGTTTTATAAAAGTGCAAGGTATCGTGATACAATTGGGTACCATTAAAAAATGATGGAAAAGCTACACTGTCTATATATGCCTTAATTTTTAAAACTCAATATAATTTATATTAATATTTGTTTAGTTATAGTGTACATATATACCTTACATTTGCATTGTATTCGCTGATACATATAGTGTACCGGACCGCATCAGGATCGTATCAGCCAATACAAACCTAAAACGATTCGATACAGGCCCATATCGGCCCAATACTGACAAAAAGAAACAAAATATATGAATTCTATATGTTACCCATATTGGACCCTTGGTGGAACGCAACATATTGGCCAATACATTGTGAAATTTCAAACCTTGGCTGCAGAATACCATCAGAGATCCATCAAGGAAACATATGGTCAGCAAATAGTTAAATGACAAATGTAAAACTCTCCAGTTGGATATTGCATGTTAGTTTTGCAATTATTTTTATCAATAATGGCTAGAACTTCATAATGTGTGCTTTGCAAATTGCACAACTTAAGGATGGAAGTGGGTGTATTGAATGTAAAAACCATTTGGTTAGGCAAACCCAAAATCATTGACTAGCTTTGAGATGTTCATGCACCAAAAACTAACATGTTTAAGCCCTTACACTAACCATTATGTGCCCAGAATTCTTTTTAAACATCAAACCATCCATAAAGCAAAGCCCTCAGAGAGGAGGATTTCTCCTTCAAAAATGAGGCCTTCAAGTCAGAAAAAAGGGATAAATAAATTTTAATTGAAAACAAAAATATATGTATGTAGAGAAGATGGGCCGAATGGCCCATAGGTTGTTTATTCTTTCTTGTTATTTATGTTTCTTTTCTGTAATGGGCCTTATTCTGGGCCCATCCTGTCTATATTAAGTTCTTTGTAAATTCTTGCCCACCTAAGGGCCTCCTTGTAATTATTCAAATATATCTTAATAAAAGAATGTTAGGGTGCTAAGAGAGAGTAGGTTCGAAACTCTCATTCTCAGACCCTCATTGCTGAACTCTCAAGCTCTCCTCTCTTCAATTTTCTTCAATGTAGAGTGGCAATGGCTCCCACTCTATCTCTAAAGTTAAAGCTGTCAATGGGACAGGGTGTACCATTCGCAAACCGGTTATTAATCGGGACAATCAAATCTGACCCAATTAGACCTGATTATACTTGATATCTATAATTACCTATTATAATAACAACTTAATAACTTCATTTTTTATAATATTATTAGAATTCGGTCTGCCCTTGAATTCTGTTAGAGTGATGACAGCAGAAATAAAAGAAAGAGGAGAAGAAGAAGAAGAAGAAGAAGAAGAAGAAGAAGAAGAAGAAGAAGAAGAGAATAGGAGAGGAAGTTCTGGTGCGAACAAGAGAGAAAATCAGTCTCTCCCATTTGGCCAGATTTGTTTTTATATTTCTATTAATCTGGAAATGACACCTTTGCCCCTACTTAAGTGAGGGACATAAGATCTAACATAGCTTTACACATCAGCAATTTAAACATAAGCATAAAGACAAAAATACACCTACATAGTCGACATTAACAAATATAAAAATAAAAATGACATTAAAATAGTACACTGTTTATATGTAGTTAACAAGTGTTTTTAACCAAAATCATCTTACGTATTGCTTATGAAATTGACCCTGTTAGACTGAAAATATAACCACAGTTACAACAAAACCAGGGGGCCTCTAGATATTATAAAGTAAATAATCAGTTCAGAACAACAAGAAATGGCCCCAAAACAATTATCAATAGAGACACAAACACACAATCAACATAATCAGTTTGGACAGATCAGTTCTGTCTGGTAGACCCAACCCATTGACAACTCTATCTAAAGCTGTACTGTTTCTAATTCAAGTTAGAAAAAAAATAGTTCAGATCCTTTAATAGCATCAAAATTAATTTTAGTTTTCCAACTCAAACCAAAAACTTAAGACAAAGGCTTTCAAGACAATACATTGGTGTAAATCAGAGTGATCATGGCCCAAGCTGAGTCAGCCTTAACACCTATGATAAGGGCTATATCCTGGGCCCAGGCCAAGCTTTGAACCCATGCCTTTAAATATAAAATAGGGGATTTTATTGTTCAGTAACAAGTGGGGGAGTGAATCAGAATTCAAGGGGGGGTGAATCATAGGTGGAGTTGTTGGTAAATAAAACCCAAAAAACTGAACTCTAAATTTCCTAATAAAATATTAAATATAGGAAAAATCTATTGTTGAAATAGTTTATTTTATATTTATTTTCATATTATGCTTAGTTAGGGTCTGTTTGGTCTGTTTAAAGTAGTTTTTTTATTACTGTTATTGTACTTTAATCTCAGCAGGGGCACAAGGGTTTTTCCCTTTTATTTATGGTCGCCCTATAAATATTAATGTAATCTGGCGCCGCTAGACTTAAGTTTGAGTTGGTCAATCTTCTTTCTTCTCTTCTACCTTCTCTCTTCTTTGTCCCTTCCCTTCTTGTTTACTGCTGTTCGTCCATTGTTAAGATGGTATCAAAGCGACTCTATTGGATTTGAGAGCAGATCGAACAAGGTCTTCCCCTTCATCTTGTTGTCTTCTCCAAACTGAGAACAAAAAAACTGACCTACAACTGATACAAGTCTTCTCCTTTTCTTTCTTCTCTTATCTTGGTTGTGTGCCAAGAAAAAAACTCGATGAAGCTGGTCTGCTGAATACTCTTGGTTTCCATACGGCCGCAAGTAAGGAAAACATTCATGTGGGCTGAAACAGCTTGTGAAATATGAGAACAAGCGAAATCTACCTATTCGGAGCAGAGGAACTATGCCAAGATATATCAACTGCAAGCTGAATCCTCCACTTGCAAGTAGGGGGAGAGAAGTCTCTCAATGTACTACTAAGATCTGACATCAATATGGAAGGAACTGGATCATTACCAAAATGTGAATTGGAAGTGTGATGAAGATGCAAGGGCCTCAAGTCACTTGTTTCCCAGCAACGAGTATTTGCTTTTCTTTTGGGGCTGAATCCTGCACGAGTCTATTAGGGTACAGATCTTGGGAAGTAAAGACTTACCTTCAGTTCAGGAGGTTTATGCCTTAGTTCAGTCTGAAGAGAGCAGAAGAAGTGTGATGAATCGTGCAGAGGGGGAACCGGTTGCTCTAGCTGTCTGAGGGGGTACAAATTCAACTATCAAAGGATCTTTTAACAAGGGTGATTCACAAAAGATAGTGGATGACAAAGACAAACTTTGGTGCACTCATTGTCAGAAGACCAGGCACACTAGAGACACATGTTGGGACCTCCATGGGAAGCCTAAATGGGCTCAAGAAATGAGTAAGAAATCAGCATTTGATCAGAGTAAGAAGCCAACCCAGCAAAATTAAAAGAAATATAACTCAGCAAATGTGGCATCTCAAGAGACTAGTCTCACGGTACCTCAAGAGCGGGCCCCTAGTTCTAACCCCAAGGAAGAGATTATCAACTCCATTCATGATCATTTGGAATTATATGGTAGGACACTTCGCCATATGGATTCTGGCCCTACTCCTACCTCCTTTGCGTCTACATCAGGTAACACTACCACTGCTTTCCATGTGTCATCTCATACTTCTGATTCCCCCTGGATAATTGACTCTGGAGCCTCAAACCACATGATTGGTAAGTCAACTTTATTTCAGACATACAGCCTCCTCTCTGGGTAAGATAAGGTGAGGTTGGCTGATGGATCATTCTCCACCATAGCCGGCCAAGGACTCATATCTCTTCCACTCGGTCTTACCCTCTCTAATGTGATACATATTCCTATATTACCTATCAATTTACTGTCCATTGGCAGTATTACTCACTCCTTGAATAGTCCAATTACCTTCTTTCCATCTTCGTGTGTGTTTCAGGATTTGGCCTCGAAGAATATGATTGGTAGAGGAAGCATGGTGGATGGTCTCTACGTGTTGGAGAATAAAGTTGGTCTTGTGCCTACAGAGTCCTTAAGCTCATCTAGTCAGAGTCACGCCTACTTATGGCATAGTCGTCTTGGTCATCTTTCTTTTGAGTCATTAAAACTTATGTTTCCAGAGTTATTTAAGTCTTTGTAAGTTAGTGAGTTACAGTGTCAGACATGTCAATTGAGCAAACATTGTAGAAGTTCTTTTCCTTTAAGAAATAAAAGATCTGAATTTTCATTTCACATTGTCTATTCTGATGTTTGGGGCCCTGTTACTCTATCTTCTAACACTGGATACAAGTATTTCATTACTTTGATTGATGACTACTCTAGATATACTTGGGTTTATCCTATGCGATCTAGAGATGAAGTGCCAAAGATTGTGAGAGATTTTCAATGCATGACAATCTCCAAGAGCCTGGTTTGATAGGTTTAGACTGGCTTCGAAAAATTTTGGGTGTACTTTTTTTGTTCTAATCCTTGGACCTCATCGCTCCAAGTTTGATCACAAAGCCACTAAGTGTATTTTCCTTGGGCATGCACAAAATCAAAAGGGATATTGCTGTTATGAGCAAGTTTTAGGGAAGCACTTTGTGTCCATGGATGTCACCTTCTTTGAGGATATGCCCTACTATCAAAAGGCTTCTCCTCAGGGGGAGAATAGTGAGGAAGGGATTTCAGTTTACCTGTCTTGGTTACTGGGGGGAGTTGCGAAGAAGGTTGTCAAAAATGCAGGGAGTTGAGAGTGTATCATA